ATTCACTTGTTAGACGAAGAATAAGGGGAGACCTGATCGAAGTGTTTAAGTGGAAGATAGGTATTAATAAAGGGGATATTAATAAGGTCTTGAGGATGTCTCTCCAAGAGAGAACCCGCAGTAATGGATTTAAATTAGATAAGTTTAGATTTAGAAAGGACATAGGAAAGTATTGGTTTGGAAATAGGGTAGCAGATGAGTGGAACAGTCTACCTAGTTGGGTTATTGAGGCTGGGACTTTGGGTAGTTTCAAATTTAGGTTGGATAAATACACGAGTGGGAGGGGTTGGATTTGAGTGGGACTGTCACATCAGAGCTTATTTCTTGGGTGGCATTGAAAATTGGGTTGGGCAAATGTTTTGTTAGTGGGATGAATTGTAAAGGACCTGCCTAGTATGGGCCAACAGGCCTCCTGCAGTGTTCCTCCTTTCTTATGTTCTTATGTTCTATTTTTGGCCAATTCCCATGTACTAGTCGACAAAAATTATAACTATTTCGCTAGAACTCCATTTTTTCTATCGAATGAGTACAAGAAACCACCCATTTACTGATTTCAACTATCCAATAAAGTGGTCAGAATTTAGCAATTCTACCAATTTCACACAAACTTCAAAAGATGCCAATTACCGAATAGGGTCCAGAATAAACAAGAAAGACATTCCTGGCACTAAAATAACAAGTTCTCTGCTCGTTATTCACATCCCCAGGCCCCTCTTATATTTCTTTGGCTTTCCACTTTGAATTTTTATTCTTACAAAAAGTAGATGATTTACTGTTATGCAGACTACTGCATTAGTGTAAAAAATGGTATAAATAATATCAGCGCACTTGTGAAAGAATATTAGACTCACCAGTTGACGTGTATTGGACGCTTGGCATGATTTGTTTACTTTTGAACTTTGGTAAAAATCGAGCATTTCTGCTACTTTGAGCTCAATTTCAAAGTACTTTTCATTGTAAAACCAGTCAAAATCATCTCAATTTCTGTAATATGTCTTCCATTCTATAAAATGAGACCAGGAAAACTAAAATACAACCATAAATACCATACGAAAATGCAGTGCAAAGTTGCTGTTTTAATCCAAAAACACGGTCAGTTTTTTTTTTCCCATTACACAATGTCTGCTGCAGGATTTTTTTTATACTGCACACACTGACCACATAAACCCATTCTTTTATATGTAGGCCTACCAGCTTTCTCACTAGATTTGAGGGCGCTAGAATTTAGGCATACTAGTACGTCAAAAACCCTGGGGCGTAAGCCGTACTAGTACGTCCGAAACCCTGAAAGGGTTAAAGATTCTTGTTGGCATATGCCTTTTTACAAACGAGAGACTCCACAGCATTATCTCCTGCTAACTGTTTATCGTTGGTCCACACTAACAACTTTCCCACATCTTCGAATGTTTGCGATCTTTGTTTCGTTATCTTATTTACCCCTTTCGCAACATTAGCTTCCTTGATTTCCACTTTCTTTGCCAGGATGGAAGTGATTGATTTTAAGATGGCTACGAATTGCTTTGGCAATTGATTCCATAAATTTTCCCACTATGGAGGTAAGGCTTATTGGTCTATAGTTCAAAGCTAAGGACCTGTCACCTGCCTGTAAATAGGTATTACATTTGCCATTTTCCACTGATCTGGCACTATGCCAGTTTGTAGTGATATGTTGAAAAGTTTTGCTAAGTTCCTCTACATTCCTTTAAAATTCTTCCAAACAATTCATCAGGGCCTAGGGATTTGTTAGGTTTTAATTTCTCTACTTGTCTGAGGACCATGTCACTAGTTACCCCAATCGTGCAGAGTTTATTATCGTCCTGTTCTACATAATTTATTATTTCTGGAATTTCGTTAGTACAGTGGACCCTCGGGTAACATCATCGGATAATGAAAAAATTGGATAGCGACACTTTTTGCGTCAAAATATTGGCTTGGTTACTGAAAAAGAACTCGGTTAAGGACATTCATCTTGAATGTGTCAGCGCGGAGTGAGTGGCCTGGACACTCCATGTACAGCCAGTGTGCCATTGTTTACAAGCCAGTGAGGACGATTCCACAAGTACATGTGATATACTTTGTATTATTCCGTTGTTTTTAGTGCTTGTAACTGCTAAATAAGCCACCATGGGCCCAAAGAAAGCTAGTGCCAGCCCTGTGGTAAAGAGGATGAGAAATACTATAGAATTCAAGAAAAAGTTCGTAAAAAGATACAAAAGTGGTAGTGATAGAGGGTGGTAGTGATGGTGGTAGTATGGGCCAACAGATCTGCTGCAGTGTTCCTGCTTTCTTACATACACCAGCGAGGGTGCTTCACACACACCAGCCAGGGTACTTCCCACACACCAGCCAGGGAACTTCCCCACATATCAGACAGGGTACTTCTCCCCCACACTCGCCTTGATTTGATTGAGACTTGCACTTGACTGAACAGAATTATCAAAGCTTATTGCTTGGGAAGCATTGAAAATTGGGTTGGACAAATACAATTCTGTTAGTGGGATGGTATGTGAAGGCCCTGCCTAGTATGGGCCAACAGGCCTGCTGCAGTGTTCCTGCTTTATGTGCAAATATTTATGGATGAGCTAGGTAGTAGGTTGGTAGACAGCAGCCACCCAGGAGGTACTACCATCCTGCCAAGTGAATGTAAAATGAAAGCCTGTAATTGTTTTACATGATGGTAGGATTGCTGGTGTTTTTTGTCTCAAACATGCAAGGTTTCAGGTACATCTTGCTACTTCTACTTACACTTAGGTCACACTACACATGCATGTACAAGCATATATATACACACCACTCTGGGTTTGCTTCTATTTTCTTACTAGTTCTTGTTTATTTCCTCTTATCTCCATGGGGAAGTGGAACAGAATTCTTCCTCCGTAAGCTATGCGTGTTGTAAGAGGCGACTAAAATGCCAGGAGCAAGGGGCTAGTAACCCCTTCTCCTATATATATTACTAAATGTGAAAGGAGAAACTTGTGTTTTTCCTTTTGGGCCACCCTGCCTCGGTGGGATATGGCTGGTGTGTTGAAAGAAAGAAAGATTTATAGATGAATATCACCCTGACACAGCTGTTGCAGGCCATGCTGGCAATATCTACAATGACAATGTTGTGCCCTATTTTGGGGAAATCTTGAAGAGACGCCAGAAACAGGGCTCTCTAGACAGATTTTTGGTGTGACAGGGGTCCAATGACAAGCTGGTCCTAGTGGCATTAAAAAAAAAAAAAAAAAGGGAGGTAACCCCAGAAAAGGACTTGTTAGCTGAAGTCTTTGTAGATGAATGGTTCAGAGAACCGACATGTTGAATTAGACACATGTGCAACTCTTGGGTATCTTCATTGTGTCTAATTCAACAGCTGAAGTCTTTATGGAAGGGGATTCCCCTTCCAAACAATTGCAAACTCCTCCATCCTCTGCCCTCCTCCCATCTCATCACTCATCAATACATCTTCAATAAAGGTAAGTGTCATTTCAGTATTGTTTATTCTGCATGTCTCATTGTTTTCTGTGTAGGGAAATGTATATTTCAAGTAAAAAATTATTTTATTTAATACTTTGGGTGTCTGGAATGGATTAATTGGATTTCTGTTATTTCTCATGGGGAAAATTAATTCGGATAACGAAAAAATCAGTTAACCCTTTGAGGGTTTCGGCCGTACTAGTACGGCTTACGACCCAGGGTTTTTGACGTACTAGTATGCCTAAATTCTAGCGCCCTCAAATCTAGTGGAAGAAAGCTGGTAGGCCTACATATGAAAGAATGGGTCTATGTGGTCAGTGTGCACAGTATAAAAAAATCCTTCAGCACACAGTGCATAATGAGAAAAAAAAACTTTGACCGTGTTTTTGGAATAAAGCAGCGACTTTGCACTGTATTTTCGTATGGTATTTATTGTTGTATTCTAGTTTTCTTGGTCTCATTTCATAGAATGGAAGACATATTACAGAAACTGGGATGATTTTGACTGGTTTTACAATGAAAAGTACCTTGAATTGTTCGATTTTTACCAAAGTTCAAAAGTAAACAAATCATGCCAAGCGTCCAATACACGTCAACTGGCAAGTCTAATATTCTTTTACAAGTGCGCCAATATTATTTATACCATTTTTTACACTAATGCAGTAGTCTGCATAACAGTAAATCTTCTATTTTTTGAGAATAAAAATTCAAAGTGGAAAGCAAAAGAATGCAAGAGGGGCCTTGAGATGTGACTAATGAACAAAGGAAATGTCATTTTAGGGCCAGGAATGTCTTTCTTGTTTATTCTGGACCCTATTCGGAAATTGGCATCTTTTGAAATTTGTGTGAAATTGGCAAAATTGCTAAATTCTGACCACTGTACTGGATAGTTGCAATTGGTAAATGGGTGGTTTCTTGCACTCATTCGATAGAAAAAAATGGAGTTCTAGCGAAATATTCATGTTTTTTGTCGACTAGTGCAGTGGAATTGGCTGAAAATGGGGCTCAAAGTGGGCAAAATTGCCGATGCGTAAACATCGCTGAGACCGCTAACTTCGCAAGAGCATAATTCTGTAAGTTTTCCATCAAAATTCATAATTTTGGTGTCATTATGATCGGGAAAAGATTCTCTATCTTTTCTTAAGAGAAAATGAGTTTTTTTTTTTTTTTAAATTTGGCCGACCCTGAGAACGAGTCTCGGAAAGGGCCTGTCAACCCTCAAAGGGTTAAAGACAAGCTTTCTGGAACTAAATGTTGTTACCTGAGGGTCCACTGTATCTTCCTGGGTAAGAACTGAGAGGAAGTAAGTATTGAAAATTTCACACATCTTTATCAGGTTTGATCCAATGGAAGGGAAGAACAGACAATTCCTCTGAACAAAAGCCTCACCATCATCAAGCAATCTCCCCCGAGGGATCATGAACACACAATTTCTTAATTCAAAGGCCTTCTGAAAGGCTGGAATTGAGATGCAATAGTAACTCAGCTCCTCTACTATCTATTTGTTTATGAACTCACCACTGTATAATAAAATAAAATGGTTTCAATGCACATTTATTCTTCCATTAATTTTAATTTACAGTGGAGTAACATTCACCTGACACAGTAGCTTCATAACATCCATCTTGTAGCCTGTCAAAACATTTTATAACAAGACTTCATAAAGGTGAACTATTTATGTTCAAGTGAATATTACCACAAGAAATATTTAAACTCAAATAATGATAATTGGCAATATAAAGAAAAATAGTGCTTACAAATCATTCATTTTTGCATTTATGTTGACATATACCAGTAGCCATTCTCCAAAATATTTGTGCCAAAACTCCTATTTTTTTTTTTTTTTTTTTTTTTTTTTTGCAAGAGAAAGTATGCCAAACAGAGTTCGATTTTTTTTTTTTCATAACCAGAGATAGAGGACTTGTCAATATTAATTTATACCAGTCATCTCACAACCTCAATACATCACCCATATAAATATGAAGTATATAATTAAAACACAGCTACCAATTAGTCTCCATCAGATTGACTGTACTTCACAATTAGTACATTAACAGCTTTCTCTAACCAAATAATTTTTACACGTATTTTACACAGCATGGTCTATCCCAAATTTGTTTCTGTTCTTTATCTCTTAACCAATTACCCATGCTGTAATGATTAAGAAGAATCCCCTATGGAGGAATGCCAAGTACACATTCTTTTAGCAACTGTTATCGTTCCCCCCCCCCCCCACACACCGAAATACATAATTTGCATCGTTTTGAAGTACACCTTTGTGCCATGCATTAATCACATTCAACAATTTAATTGATTTCAACATTGCAACCACATTAAGAAACTAATGCTATTTTATCCACATATACCATTTCTAAACATTTCTTAGTTCTCTCAGATGAATAAACAAAGATGCACAGCTGACTAGCACACTTCATTGTATGACACCATATTCAGGAATATTATATGCCTTATAAGTACTCAAATCTTGCACAACTTCAGAAAATATATACTTTCTACCTTAGACCTAATGTTACAGGTGTCATTCCTGACTGACTTGGCTGAAGCTTCGAAATGTGTTTACGTGCAATACAGTCTTAGGGACGGGGCTTGAAGTAGCCTTAACATTTGCTGTGTAAGATCATCAGAAGCTAAATCATCATAGGAATCAACCAGGGTTAGCCAGAAGATCCAGAGGATATATTAGAAACCACATGCTCTCTTCATGATTACCCTTGAAAGATTGTACGTAAATGGTTCAGAGAACCAACAATTTTGATGAATTAAACATGTGCAATACTTGGGTATCTATTGTGTAAATGTTTCACCACACAGTGGCTTCATCAGTCCAATACAAAGAATAGTAAAGATCAGAAAGGGTTTGAGGTAATCAGTCCCTAAGCCTAGAGTCAATGTAATCAGTCCATCAATCTTGACTGATGGCATGGGACATCTGGTTCTGATTGACTGATTGTGTCGACTCTAGGCTGAGGGACTGATTATTTACCTCAAACTTTTTCTGATCTTTACCATTCTTTGCACTGAACTGATAAAGCCACAGTGTGGCAAAACATTTCCACAAAGATACTCAAGCACTGCACACATGCCTAATTTAACCACCCTTGAAAGAGCATGAATAATGTGGTTCTTAATATATTCTCTCTATCTGGCTAACCCTGGTTGCTTCCTCCAATGATCTAACTTCTGATGACAGTCTTGTGCTACAAGCACCTAAGCTACTTTAATCTCCCTCTCCACGGTTGTACTGCACATAGTACTCTCTTCCATGTTGAAATATTTTTGCATAGAGCAATATAAGATCTTTCATAGACAAGTCTCGTTAATAAATTTAAGATGCTCACTATGGAAGACTTCCTGCAAGATACAATATTTACATATTTGCTAATAATGTACAGTATATATCCACTAAAAATGCTCTTTCTTAAAGTTGATTTTATACAGTATTAAAATAATATATATAGTACATATATTGTACAAAGATAAAAATGTTACTACATTCTATACTCCTCCATATATAAACATATACATACAGTATATAGAAAAATGATTAAATTGTTATGCAGATTTTGTTAGGCTGTAGTTTTTACAACTCCAACATTCTTCTACCTAAGTATATACTCTATATAAATACTAGTACAGGTATCCCTCACTTTAAGTGGATTTGCTTTATGAGTGTGCTTTATGCAGATTTGCTATTACGCTGCTTTATTTCTATCAGCCATTCAATGCGTAATAATTAGCAATGTGCGATCAGTGCTATTTGTAAAGCCTGTTGATTCTCATTATATGGAATTTAGTGTTTATGATCTGAATTCGTTCAATACAGCTGCCAAAGGCGTGGAACACAACTACAAAATCAAGCGAGGGACACCTGTACTCTGCATTTATTCATTGAATGTTGAAGACAGACTGCTGAACAAGTTTAAAGATAACATACACAGATGCCAACAAAAGAAACTAGCAACATTTGGGGACACTTACACAAATTACTTTTTGGATGGCATGGCACAAACTTCTTCACATTCCAGGTCAGTTAGATTCGTGCCATCTGCTACTTTACCAGCTTCTGGAGTTATTTCTAATCCCAGAGCCTAAAAAATAAATATATGTAAGCCAAATTACTAAAAGTGCTTCTGTATTATAGCTGTTAATAGCAATGAAACCATGGAAGATGAAACATATACAGTTATAACATTTATTAAAGGAAACTTTTCGCCTCTAGTGTTTTCCTCAAAATAAGCCACTCAAGGTGAAACATTTTCCAAAATAAATGTCATAACTGTACTTACGAGTCTTTCATATCTTGTTGGTATCAACATGTCAGTACACACAGCAATAAAGTCCTAAAAGAATAGGGATCTTAAACTATTAAATAATTTATTTATTTATTTCTTATTTGGACATGATACATAGTTGTACAAAGAAATATACTGATTGGGTGTACATGCCAAAATCCCCTTGTATGCAGAGCATTGTGGGCAGGCTTAAAATTAAATTAAGATTAACTAAGCAATGATACATTCAGTGGTAAAAATTACAGTAAGCAAAGTTTTACAAATTTGTAGCATAACAATGTATAATAGAATCAAATCAAGTAAAATCAACGATTTGTAGTGCAGAAAAGGTCATTTTAGTCATTAGATGGTTACTGTGCATTTTAAGAGAAGGGTATTATTAGGTAAATTATTTTTTTTTTTTATTATCCCCCGATCCACCAGAGGGTGGCCCGAAAAAAAAAAAACTTTCACCATCTTCACTCCATCACGTTCCCGAAGGGTGCTTTACACTACAGTTTTTAAACTGCAAATTAACACCCCTCCTTCAGAGTGCAGGCACTGTATTCCCATCTCCCGGACTCAAGTCGGCCTGCGGTTCCCTGAATCCCTTCATAAAGTTACTTTGCTCCATCCAACAGCACGTCAAGTATTAAAAACCATTTGTCTCCATTCAAATCCTATCAAACACGCTCACGCATGCCTGCTGGAAGTCCAAGCCCCTGCACACAAAACCTCTTTACCCCTCCCCCAACCCTCCCTAGGCCGACCTACCCGCTTCCTTTCCATACAGATGAAATCTTTAAGTCATTCGTTTCGCCATTTCTCTACATGTCCGAACCAAAAAACCCAACACCTTCCTCAGCCCTCTGGACAAACAGTTTGGTAAACCCGCACCTCCCCCTAACTTCCAAACTAGGAATTCTCTGCATTATATTCAACACCACACATGCCCCAGACATGAACTCCCACTGCCTCCGAAAATTCTCCTGCTGCAACATTCATCACCACGTTCACACCCATATAAAAAGCGTTGTAAAACTTACTCTCCCTACATTCCCCTCTTTCCTCCAAGGACAAAGTCTTTGTCTCCCCAGACTCCTAAGTGCACCACTCACCTTTTTCCTCATCAATTCTATGATTCCCCCTCATCTTTCATAGACCATCGCTGACACGTCCACTCCCAAAATCTGAATAGTTCACCTCCTCCATACTCTCCCCTCCCAACTGATATTCAATCTTCATCACCTAATCTTTTTGTTATCCCCATAAAATTACTCTTTCCTGTATTCACCCTTTTAATTTCTTCTTTGCACACCCTACCAAATTCCCTCCCCCAATCTCTGCAAACTTCTCTTCAGAATCTCCCAAGAGCACAGTGTCATCAGCAAAGAGCAGCTGTGACAACTCCCACTTTGTGTGTGGATTCTTTATCTTTTAACTCCACGCCTCTTGCCAAGACCCTCGCATTTACTTCTCTTACAACCCTATCTATAAATATATTAAACAACCACGGTGACATCACACATCCTTGTCTAAGGCCTACTTTTACTGGGAAAAATTTCCCTCTTTCCTACATACTCTAACTTGAGCCTCACTATCCTCGTAAAAACTCTTCACTGCTTTCAGTAACCTACCTCCTACACCATACACTTGCAACATCTGCGACATTGCCCCCCTATCCACCCTGTCATACGCCTTTTCCAAATCCATAAATGCCACAAAGACCTCTTTAGCCTTATCTAATATACTGTTCACTTATATGTTTCACTGTAAAACACCTGGTCCACACATCCCCTACCTTTCCTAAAGCCTCCTTGTTCATCTGCTATCCTATTCTCCGTCTTACTCTTAATTCTTTCAATTATAACTCTACATACACTTTACCAGGTACACTCAACAGACTTATCCCCCTATAATTTTTGCACTCTCTTTTATCCCCTTTGCCTTTATACAAAGGATCTATGCATGCTCTCTGCCAATCCCTAGGTACCTTACCCTCTTCCATACATTTATTAAATAATTGCACCAACCACTCCAAAACTATATCCCCACCTGCTTTAACATTTCTATCTTTATCCCATCAATCCCGGCTGCCTTACCCCCTTTCATTTTACCTACTGCCTCACGAACTTCCCCCACACTCACAACTGGCTCTTCCTCACTCCTACAAGATGTTATTCCTCCTTGCCCTATACACGAAATCACAGCTTCCCTATTTCTTTCAACATTTAACAAATCCCAAAATATTCCTTCCATCTTCCCAATACCTCTAACTCTCCATTTAATAACTCTCCTCTCCTATTTTTAACTGACAAATCCATTTGTTCTCTAGGCTTTCTTAACTTGTTAATCTCACTCCATAACTTTTTCTTATTTTCAACAAAATTGTTGATAAAATCTCACCCACTCTCTCATTTGCTCTCTTTTTACATTGCTTCCCCCACTCTCTTACTTCTCTCTTTTTCTCCATATACTCTTCCCTCCTTGCATAAACTTCTACTTTGTAAAAACTTCTCATATGCTAACTTTTTCTCCCTTACTACTCTCTTTACATCATCATTCCACCAATCGTCCTCTTCCCTCCTGCACCCACTTTCCTGTAACCACAAAAATTTGCTGAACACTCTAACACTACATTTTTTTAAACCCACCCCATACTCTTCGACCCCATTGCCTATGTCTCATTAGCCAACTATCTCCAATAGCTGTTTTTATCTTACCCTAACTGCCTCCCCTTTTTTTATAAACCTTCACCTCTCTCTTCCCTGATGCTTCTATTCTCCTTGTATCCCATCTACCTTTTTTCTCTCAGTGTAGCTACAACTAGAAAGTGATCTGATATATCTGTGGCCCCTCTATAAACATGTACATCCTGAAGTCTAAATCAACAGTCTTTTATCTACCATACATAATCCAACAAACTACTGTCATTTCGCCTACATCATATCGTGTATACTTATTTATCCTCTTTTTCTTAAAAAAAAGTATTACCTATAAATAAACCCCTTTCTATACAAAGTTCAATCAAAGGGCTCCCATTATCATTTACACCTGGCACCCCAAACTTACTACCACACCCTCTCTAAAAGTTTCTCCTACTTTAGCATTCAAGTCCCCCACCACAATTACTCTCTCACTTGGTTCAAAGGCTCCTATACATTCACTTAACATCTCCCAAAACTCTCTCTCTCTCCTCTGCATTCCTTCTTCTCCAGGTGCATACACGCTTATTATGACCCACTTCTCGCATCCAACCTTTACTTTAATCACAAATAATTCTTAAATTTTTACACATTCTATTCCTTTTCCCTTCCTAACTATCATTTAACATTACTGCTACCCCTTCCTTTGCCAACTCTTCAATACCCCAAATTTAACCCCATTTATTTCCCCCACTAAAAACTCTCCTACCCCCTTCAGTTTTGTTTCGCTTGGGGCCAGGACATCCAACTTTTTTATTCATAACATCACAATCATTGTTTCTTTAAACCGCCTACCCCACGCACTTTAAGCAACCCATTTTATAAGTTTTCTTTTTCTTTTTTTTAGTAATTGTATCAGGAAAAGGGGGTTACTAGCCCTTGCCCCCGGGAAATTTTAGTCGCCCAACGACACGATGGCTTAGGGAGGAAAGATTCTTTTCCCTTCCCCATGGACAATAGAAGAAATAAAAAAAAAAAGAGCTATTTTGAAAAAAAGGGGAAAAAAAAAATAGATGTATTAATATATTTATGCGGCGTGTTTTGAAGTGTGACCAAAATGTAAGTAGGGTGCAAGAATCCCCGTTATCTTAGCGTAATTAAAAAAAACAGTTAGTAGGGTCACAGGTTATCATAATGGATTCAGTTTCAGATTTATTTAGTTTTTGGTTGAGTAACGGTTTTTTTTAAAAGTCTTGAATTGATAAAAAAGGGAGTATTTTTTTTTATTACAGGGAATGAATTCCCCGATTTTTGGGGCCCTTTTTTGTGAATTGGTTTTTTTCATAGTGAGAGATGGACAGGGGAACTCAAAGAGTGACTGTGCCTTGTGTTATGGGCAGTGTTCGTTGAGGTTGGTAAGGAGAAGTTTGAGGGGGGGGTTTTTTTAAACCCAGTTTAGTGTTCTACTAGTAGCAGGCACAAAAATTGTATTGTGTTTTGTTGGAAGTTTAGAGTTTTAATTGGGGGGTATGCTGCCTGGTGTAAGAATTTATCATCATTCTGACAGTGTTAATATGTATTTAGAAAATTTATTCTTGACACTTTCTCAAAAAAAATTGTGCTGCTCTGTGGTAGTGCCCAAAGTAACACAAGATTTTCCCGGACCAAAAAAAATAAGCAAAAAAGGGAATAACCATGGAACAAATAAAGAAATTGTGTAAATTTTAAGCCACCAGAAAATTTACAACAGGATGGATAGAGAGGCAGTCTGGAAGAAAATTCCCTCACCTACTTACAACACTGATTTTTCATGGTAAGTTAATTACTGAAAAATATATTAAGATTTTCTTATGATTAAACCCACATACTTAACTCAGGGTAATCCACAAAAAATAAGTAGGGGTTATTTCTACTGAGCCCCTTACCTTGTCTTTCCTAGGTATCCATTTATTTTTAGTTAATAATAATGATAAAATCAAAGTGCTGAACCCAAAGGGTCATACAGTGCTGCAGAGAGGTATGTGCTATGAGTGGAATATGCAGAGGTTAGAGAGAGGGGCAGGAGTGTGCAAAGGTAAGGATTAGTGGGGGTATGAGGGAGTAAGAAGTAAAATGAAATAAAAATTAGTTCATTTAATTAGTTTCTGCTAAAAAGTCAGTCTGAGTTAAAGG